TCCCTTCCCTTCCCTTCCCTTCCCTTCCCTTCCCTTCCTTTCCCTTCTCCCATTGAAAAGGGCAAAATAAATACTAGGTCAAAATTCTCCCCTTGCCCTTTCAGTGGAAGCAACAGTTTGTCATCAGGGGAAATATTTCACTGAGAAAAGGGGAGAGAGAGAAGAGGTGAGGTAGTGACAAGAAGCAGAAAAACTGCGGATTCCGTTTTTTCTCTTTGCCACCACTGAATTACAGAAGGGCATTTATTGGTGAATGAGCAGCAGAAGAGTTTAGTTAATGTGTGCGTTTCACATTCTTGGATCAGAGGTAGCAAAGAAGGTAGAAGTAATTTGGACTGTGAAGAAACAGCTGCATTTCAGCCCAAAGGTGGCTTCGGGTCACTGCCAAACGTAAAGATTTCTGCATTCCTGCTCCCCCTGCGAAGACTGAAATGACCGCTCTGCAGACCAACAAAAACTGGTTGCTTAATGGAGATGTTTTTCTCATAAAGCCTGAGAGAAGCTGCGCTCAATACATGTGGGGATACAATAGATTAGATAGCTTGTAGGATGCGTTAATAGAGTCCTCAAAGCACTTCACTATCCGTCTCCGTGAAAGGCGTTACATAAATGTGAGCTCATTTGTTATCATTATCTCTCTTTGTCTCCTCGCAGGGTGGGTAATTTGCTGGGTTATCGGGCTACGTGTGTTTAAAAACACATGATAGATGTAACCTCAGCAGACACTCACTGGTTTTCTCATTCTTAAGAGCAGAAACGTTTCCTTCACCACTCGGTAGCTGCTATAGATCCTATCAGCTCTGACTCAGCGACAGAACAACCCCGGTGCACCAGAAATAGAAGCCGTGAGTTCTGCTGGCTCCTTCTGAGCTGCTGAAGCACACCAACCAAACATCCATTTGCTGATACACCTTTCTGCAAGCGCACCTATCCCCAGAGCACAGACCTGACTTGACATTCTCTTTAACCGGAACGGAACTGCTTAATTAGAAGTAATTCAGCATTTCACAGGATGTTGCTGGGAAGTTCTCGTACTCTGCCTTCTTCTCTGCCTTTGGCAATCGGAGCAGCCTTGGGAAATACTCAGCACAACAACACACAGATTGCTTC